CTGATGGGCCTCTACAGGAAGCCCAGGAGCAGAGTAGTGGGGTAGTAGGGCATCTGGGGGAACCTCACCACTCTACCCTTCCGGTGTCCGGCCCTGGGTGAAGCTGGAGGGCCAGTTACTGATGTGTACACACAGCAGGATCTCGGTACAGGCTAGAGAAACAGACCCGGCAAACTCTTCCTTCCCTGCCTGACCTCGAAGACTCTCCCCTTTGCTACCAGGGTGCTGTCTGTCTTCTGTAGCCCATGTTGGTTCCTGAGGCCCAGTGGGGGGCTCTAGGAACTTGGCTGTGGGTGGGAGGAGGCATAGGGAGCCTCAAGGCTTGAGCTGCGACAGGAAGAATGAGAGCTGGACTGCAGGAAGGACAGGGGGTAGGACACAGGTGACAGTCCCTCATGGAGAAAACAGGATGACATTTTCCCAAGAGGTTTGCTTTGCTAGACAGGAGAGGTGGGAAGTGGGGGGGGGGGGGACAGGGGCAGGGGGATGGCCCAGTGGAAGCTAGGGGAAGGCTTCCAGCCCTGCTGGGTGCTCCTCAAGTCAGTTTCTGTCTCTACAGGGCACAGTGCCTGGGACCACCCCTCCCTAGCCATGTTTTCCTGGACTGCCCCCTAGCCCGCCCTCAGGTCCCTTGTTGGTGAGTTATAATTAGCTCACTGCCCAGGCTAAAAATAGCCCCTGCCCAGCCCCAAGCTGCTGGCGGGGGAGGGAATGGTGGGATGTGGTGGGAACCAGGGCTTTAGGTAGTCAGCCTGCAGAACTCAGAAGGGTTGGGGCCTGCACCTCTGTGTGCTGTTGGGAACTCTGGAGGAGAGGGTTAGCTTGGGGCAAGGAGGAGAGAGGAGGGCCTGGAGGGTGCCCCCAGGGCAGGCTCCTGGGCACCCCTCGGCTGCCCAGCCCAGTTGCTTTCCCAGCCTGGTGCCCTCGCTCACTGGCGCCTTCTGTCTCCTCCTGTGTCTGCATGGTCCCCACCTTGCCCACGCCTCCGCCCACTAGCAAGCAGGCTGCCCCACTGTGGGGGTGACAGGTGGATTGGATTGTCGCCCCCTCCCCCAGCGCCTGCTGCTTATTTCATGCCCTGCAGCCCTCCTGGGGAAGGGTGGAGGAGGGTGACAGCTGTCTGCAGTGCAGCCTGAGGCCCCCCAGCGGCCTGCAAGGGAGGGGGAGTGCCTAATGAGAGCAGATCCCTCCTGTCTCCTACTCCCTCAGCCCAGGGCTTGGCCTTTCTGGCCTCTGCTCCTTTGGAGCCTGCTGGTATAGGGCCCTGGAGTCAGATGCTGCATTTTAGAGCCTCAGGCAACCAGACACAGTGCTCAGGGAAGAAGGGTGTGAGAGAGCAGAAAATGGGGGTTCCTTGCTAAAGAGCTGAGAGAGGACGGAGACTTCTGGAGGAAGGATGTTCCTGCCTGGCCCTTCAGCAGTGGTTACAGGAACTAGACCTGACCCCACTCCCATCTCCACCCAGGCCCTTTACACGGGAACTGAGAGGCCTCATTCTGAAACCCCAGAGTGGTTTGACAATTGCTTGGGTACCAAGACTGTGACATTAGGGAGACAGGGGCCTATCCTCCTCTGATCCTTCAAACCAGTCCCCTTTGCTTTTCACTTGTCCCTCTTTTGTGTATAAACAGTGCACAGCACAGTTGCCATGGGATTCTAGACCCTGTGCCCCCCACCTCAACACCCCCCACCCCCCATCAGCTTCCCTACAGATCCCACCACCAGTGCTTTCTTTACTACTGCTGTGGTTGTGGCCTGCTGGGAGCCTACTGAAGGGCACTGCTGTGATACAGCTGTGGTCAGAGGTCAGCATGGGAAAGCCTGGGACCTGGCACCTCACATGTCTGCCAAGAGCTGCAGGAGGCTTAGAAGAGCAGCAGCCCAGTCCAGTGGTTGCGGCGCACACCTTTAACCCCAGCACTCAGGAGGCGGAGGCAGGAGGGTCTCTGTGAGTTTGAGGCCAGCCTGGTTTACAGAGAGAGTTCCAGGACAGCCAGAGCTGAAACCCTGTCTCAACCCTGCCCCCCCCAAAAAAAAAAGAAGAAGAAAAGAGAAGCCCAAAGGTCAGGACACGGGAGAAGAGGGGCTGGCTAGACCAGGCAGGAGCGGAGCCTGCATCTGGAGAGCAGATGCCCAGGCCTCTGGCTCCTGGCAGTTAGTTAGGTTGTGGAACAGAGGACTAATTAAGCAGGTCCAGGTGTTTGTTAAAACCTCCTGATGGAGTAGGGAAGTTGGGTCAATCTGAGGTTCTTTGTGACCGTCTCTGCTCAGACACCACTCTTCCAGAACCAAGACTGAGTTCCTAATCTTGCCCCAGGGCTTCTGAAGCAATGTGGAGCATTGCAGAGGGGACAGAGCCTGCTTTGTAAGAGAGCTTGTGGTTAGCTAGGAGGAAGGACTGCCCAAGGCAGGGTCTGCCCTCTGGTAGAGGAAGAACAGCAGTGAGCAGGCTGAGAGGCATGGGGTTATTATAAATGGCTGAGCTAGTGTAGAAGTCAGAGTTGCTGGGCCCTGGCCTCTTAGACAGGTTCCCTCTGTTAAAGGATGCTCACTGGGTCTCTCTGGCTTCCCTGCCTTCCCAGCCATGATCTCTCTCATATCCTAGCTCCCCCAGCATGCGGCAGGAATGGGGGGGCAGTGTAGGAGATCAGCCAGGGAGCTGGTTGCCAAGCGACAGTTGCCTAAGCAACCCCATCCTCTCCATCTCCATGTGCTCAGGGCTGCTCCTTAGAAGACTTAGAGTCTTACCCTCTGCACCAGCCAAGCTGAATGTAGAGAGGGACGAGGGTGAGGGTGGCAGGGTTGGTTGGAAGGTCAGAGGTGTCCAAGCTGATAGGCTTTGAGTGCAGCTGATAGCTCTGCAGAGGACAGTGAGAACAGCAGGACGGACAGAGATTAGACAGCAGAAGGGACTTCTTATGGGCTCATGTTTTCTTTGCATAGGTATTTCCTGGGCTACTTCCTACAGGCAATAGCATAGTAAAAAGACAGATCTGGTTCCTGCCTTCATGAAGCTCCAATTTTGGGGGAACCAGGCACAGAAGAGAAGCATAATTATTTGGAGGTTGTAATGCCAGAAAGATTGAGACAGTTCATGCCCCCCTGCCTGAGGAGACAGCACTGGTCATAGGCAGAAGAGAGGTTCTGTCATCAAAGATCTGTTCATGGATTGCATATGGTAAGCTGGGGACAAGAAGGAAGGCAGCCTCATGGCCACTAGGGTCAGGAGTTCCCAAGGCTGGGCCAGAGAAACTTAAAAAGCCAACTTACCATAGCAGTGTGCATTCCCACCTGCTGAGGCCAATAGGGAGACAGTTTGAGGACGGTCCTAAGAATCAGAGATAAATCTAGAAGTTCAGGCTGGAGCCTCTGCAGTGAGCTGAGCCACAGGCCAGGATTTGGGTCACAGGCCAGGAGAGGTGACTAGCAGGGCCGTCTAGGCTGCTGCTGGTCTGGGATGTGGAGGGTGACAGGAGGCAGGGACTGTGAAGCTCCTTGACTCTCAGAGTAAGGGAAAAGGCCATTGGGTCCCTCTTTTGGTGACCTTCCACACATGCAGACAAAACACTTCAGGGGGAAGGAGCTACGGTGTTCTCTGTAGATACTTAGGCAGAGTGGAAGGTAGACAGTGAATTCCGAGGGTCAGTCACGTGATTCATGATGGTTGTAAGCAGGTTGAGGCCTTCCCTCCCCCGACCCCCTCATAGTCAGGTGCCCGGTGAACTCCATCATCTACTCTGTACCCTTCAGGCCTTGTGCAATGGGCTAGAGAGGCACAGTTTTACATCCCAGTCACTGGCACCTGGCTGTTGCTGAGGAACCCCCCTGCCTGTGAGTGTGTCTGTTCATCAAATGTGTGCAGAGCCTGTGGAGGCCAGATGACATTAGATCTCCTAGGCCAGGTGGTGATGGTGGTGGCAGTGTCTGCAGCGCACACTTAATCCCAGCACTCAGGAAACAAAGTCAGGTGGATCTCTGTGGGTTTGAGGCCATCCTGGTCTATAAAGCAAGTTCCACTCGAGGGAAAAAAGGGGGGGGACATTTGTCCTGGGACCTGAACCTAGGTCCTTTACAAGACCAACAAGGGCTCTCAAATGCTAAGCCATCTCCTCCTCAGTCCTCCAGAACACCCTCTTTGCAGATTTCCTGTACCCCCCCAATTTATTTATTTGTATGTTTTTTTTTGTTTTTGTTTTTTTTTGTTTTGTTTTGTTTTTTTGTTTTTTCGAGACAGGGTTTCTCTGTGGCTTTGGAGGCCTGGAACTCGCTTGGTAGTCCAGGCTGGTCTCCAACTCATAGAGATCCGCCTGGCTCTGCGTGTTTTTTTGTTTTTTGAGGCAGGGAACTCGCTATGTAGACCAGGCTGGTCTCATCTCACTGAGATCCGCCTGCCTCTGCTTCCTGAGTGCTGGGATTAAAGGCGTGCGCCACCAGCGCCATCTATTATCTTCTTATTGTCTTTGTCAGCAAGGCTGCTGCAGCAAAGCTAAGCATTGCTACCGAATTTACAGCCTGCCATGCTGGTTCCCTGGTCCTTCACAGAAACACTGGCCTGGTTTAGGGTGAACCCGGTGATGGAGCACTTACCTAGGTTCTATACCATGCACCACAGTTATCAGAGAAAAGATTCAGACTTTGTGGTGCAGGCCTGTCACCATAGCTTCTTGGGAGGTTGAGACAGGAGGATCCCAAATTAAGGCCAGCCTGGGAAACTTAGAAAGATCTGAGCTCAAGAAATAAGAATGGGGGTTGAGGATGCAGCCAGGCAGAGCACCTTCCTAGCATGTGCAGGACCATTGGGTTCAGTCCCCAATGTGAGCTGCGGAGTTAGGGAAAACAGATTTGCTGCCCTCTGACCTAGAGTAGCTTGTTTATGTGTAAGCAGCAGGACATCCCTCCACACAAAAACTGTACTTGGGCTGAGTGAATGAAGCAGACTGATGTACACAAGCTCTGATTGGGGGTGAACATTCTATAACTCCAGCCTCCACTGTCCCCAGGTCCCATTAGTCCATGTGTGGACCCTGCTGCCAGCCTCAACTGGGCACCAGACACCCTCATTGACACCAGGCATCCTCCCTGCCTGCCGCATTCAGTCTAGGTAGGCATTAGTTCAGCACCTTCTCACTATGGCTCCGGCATAGGAGCCTCCACTGTCCAGGGGGGGGGGGGGGTAGGAGGGAGGGGGGAGTGCAATACATAGTACAGACAAGCTATTCAAAGAATAGGATGTGGGTGCTCTCCGAGAAGCCAGGAGCCCCTTATCTTCCATGTGACCTAAAGCCCAAGGAGAGCAGTGACTTGAGAATCAGCCTAGACCAAGTACCGGTCCCAGTGGGAGCCCAGCTTAGACTTAGTATTGGGGGCACATTTCCTCTACAGCCAATATTACTTTAATTTGGGGATGGGGCAGAGATGCCCCTAGTCTCTCACAGGTATAGTGAGTCTGGCTCACATCTCAAGCAACAAAGTTGGGGGTTGGGGAGTCTAACAGTCCTCTTATGACCCTCCCCTCCCAGGAGGCTGTGCAGAGGTGTTCTGCAGACCATGAACTGAACACTAGTCCCAGACATTCATGAGCACAGTGTGAGGCTCCTGACCACCACCCAGCAGCCCCTTCTTCTGGCACTAACGACCCCGGAGAAGATGGGGAGGAAAAAGATTCAGATCCAGCGAATCACTGATGAGCGGAACCGCCAGGTGAGGAGGTCCCACAGCCCCACATAGTAGATGAGCAAGGGCAGGGAGCCAACTTCTGTCACCCATGACCAGTTCTAGAAGAGGGCTTTCTTGGAAGCCCAGGGACTCACTGGAGGTTGTAACAGAGGAGTGGGTCTGAGTGGAGAGAGGAACACCTTTGTGTACCTCTTTAGCTCTGCTGGTCTGAGATGGGCCAGGGCCTCCCACCATTGCCATGCCCACAGCTCCTTCATCCCAACAGGACCCCTCCCTCTCCGTGCCTGGGAGCTGTGTTGCTCTTCTCAGTTCACGGCAGAGATGTGGCCTCCTTTCCCGTCAGAGGCTGGTGTGTCTTGGCTGTGGTCTGGTCAAGGGGTGCTATTTTGTTCCTTTCTAGACCAAGGGTTTCCGTAGACAGTGGCTAAGTCACCCGGAGAGCAGAGCTCTAGGGTTGGGGCTGTGTCCAAATACCTATGGGTAGAGTGACTGTTGTCAGCCTGGCCACCGTCTACTTTCCTGCAGGTGACGTTCACCAAGCGGAAGTTTGGGCTGATGAAGAAGGCCTATGAGCTGAGCGTGCTGTGTGACTGCGAGATCGCACTCATCATCTTCAACCACTCCAACAAGCTCTTCCAGTACGCCAGCACCGACATGGACAAGGTGCTGCTCAAGTACACGGAGTACAACGAGCCGCACGAGAGCCGCACCAATGCTGACATCATTGAGGTGCGCCTGGGCCCGCCTCTGCCCCATGTAAACCTTCTCCTGAGCCGAGGCCCCAAGGAAGGAGGGGCCTGACAGCGAAGGCATGGGGCGTGTAGCCAGTACCAGGCTTCAGCTTGACTTAGCAGTGTGTGCCAGGTCTGAGGCTCACCTGCTGTCTTCTGCTCGCTCCTTGGCGCCTCCTTCCCTCATCCTCTGGGATACTCCTTTTTGTGTCTCCCTCTTTGTTCCCACCTCTCCTTTCTGTCCTGTTCCTTGATGGGTCTGTGTGGCTCTTGCCTTCTGTTTCAGAGTCAAATTTGCAATGTTGAGGACTCAGCTTTGGGATTCATCTCTGGTCTTTACTGACCACATGGCCCTCCTCAGGCAGGTGGTCTGGCTCCTCTGGGCTCTGCTCTCTTCCACAGACTGAGCAGTGCTGGTTCACAAGGTGTTCTGTGAACAGTGAGACTACCAGCTCATGCTTCTCACTCTAGGGTGCCAACATGGGGTACAGAGGTTAAGAGTACTGGCCACTGCTATTCCAGAGGAGCCGGGTTCAATTCCCACATGGCAGCTCACAACTGCCTGTACCTCTAGTCCCAGGGGATCCACTTTCTTCTGACCCCACAGGCACCAGGCACTCATGTGGTCCACATGCATACAGGTAAAACAGACATACACATGAGATAAAATAAATACAAAAATAAGCCAGGTGATGGTGGCACACACCTTTAATCCCAGCATTTGGGAGGCAGAGGCAGGTGGATCTCTGTGAGTTCAAGGCCAGCCTGGTCTACAGAGTGAGTTCCAGGGCAGACAAGGATACACAGTGAAACCCTGTCTTAGAAAGAAAAAAATAATAAATGAAAGTAAAAATGAAGCAAGGGCTGGGGAGATGGCTTAGGTAAAAGTCTGATAACTGAGTTTAAATCCCAGGATCCCCATGGTAGAAAGAAGAGAGCCATCTCCTGCAGGTTGTCCTCTGACATGCACTCATGTACCATAGCATGTGCACACACACACACATGTAAATAAATAAATGTGATTTTAAGAAATGAAGCTAGTATCCTTACAGTTGTGAGCAGTCACCAGCACTTGAGTCTGCCACAGGTGCACCCTAAGGTCACGTGCAAGGCTTTGGCCCCTGGGTAGAGTCTGGGGTGGCAAGTGCAGTCCTTTGTGCTCTCCTGTACCCTCCTCTCCTATCTCCATCCAGTTCTCTCTCGTAGTGGAACTTAGGGGTTTGGATAGGCATAGTTCCCCACCCCCAAACACACCTTAGGGGAGCAGGCTGGGGTTGGGCTCTCCCTGGACAATTGTGGAGTATACCTGCCCCACACCAATACACTGGTTAGGTCCCACTTCACTCAGGGCCCCAAGGGAACATTGTAGGGGGGAGACTGATTCTGAGGGAGGGACTGAAGCTTCTGGAAACCATGGGAGAGAAGGTTGGAGAAGAACAGGGGGTCCTTGGGAGGAGCTTGGAGGAGGCAGGAGGACCATTGCTGGCTGGCTGACTGAGTGGTGCGGTTGCAGACCCTGAGGAAGAAGGGTTTCAACGGCTGTGACAGCCCAGAGCCGGATGGGGAGGACTCACTGGAGCAGAGCCCCCTGCTGGAGGACAAGTACCGGCGGGCCAGTGAGGAGTTGGATGGGCTCTTCAGGCGCTATGGGGTGAGCCCTCCTCACCTTTTCTGTGGTCCCCTTCCGGCCCCTTCCCCAGGCGCTGCACAAGAAGCACAGGGAGTGTGAGAGCCCTGAGGCGGACGAGGCGTTCGCCCTGACCCCCCAGACGGAGGAGAAGTATAAAAAGATAGACGAGGAGTTTGATAAGATGATGCAGAGTTATAGACTGGCTGTGAGTAGTCGCATGGAGGACAGCCTCCTGTGCTGCATGGTGTGGCTTCACCCAGCCTTGCCCGGCCCTCGGCTGCCTCTGATGGGGTACTAGGATGAGCCACGCTGGAGCTGTACTGACCACTGAGGAGTTCCTGACCTGGGTCTTGGTAACCCTCTTCTTGTAAAGTCCTTGCATAAGCGAGAGAGACAGGCATTCTCCCTCACCAACAAAAAGTGTGCAGATGCCTTGTGTCTTTGGAGGACAAAGGAGAGGATCTTCTTTGTCCCCTTGTTTTGGGGAGAGGTCCCCTTGGACTGCTTTGGCCCCCCTGCCTAAGGCCTTCAGCTTTGTTTACAGGAGGCAGGACTGCTAAAGGGAAGGGAGAGAGAGGGTGGGCTTGAGTTGTTCTGGAAGCAGGCCAAATGGTGGGTGGCCACTTAGTGAAGCCATATTCTCAGGAGTGTGTGAGTTTGGGTCTGTACGCAGGGCACTAACTTGCTCCCGGTGTGTCCTGCCTGGCTGAGGACTAACCCACCTCCACTGGGGGTACCCAGTCCTGCCTGCAGGGGGCAGAGCCTTGCTCTTCTGCCTTGGACCAGAGCTGTATTGCAAGGTGCTCCCATCTCTCTGATGGGAGGGAGGTAGGACTACAAAAGGGCTGAAGGCAGGGAGGCCAGGGTGCTGGCCCTTGGAGATATATGTAGTCCAGGAGCCAGAGAACCCTCGTGCCTACCCTCTTGGGCAGAATGGGTCCAGGGGCAGAGGTTCACCTGGCGTGACACTGCCTTCCGTCTTTCTGTCTAGTCATCTGTTCCGGCCCCCAACTTTGCCATGCCCGTCACAGTGCCCGTGTCCAATCAGAGCTCCATGCAATTCAGCAATCCCAGTGGCTCTCTGGTTACTCCTTCCCTGGTGACGTCATCCCTTACGGACCCACGGCTCCTGTCCCCCCAGCAGCCAGCACTACAGAGAAACAGTGTTTCTCCGGGCCTGCCCCAGCGACCTGCTAGTGCAGGTAAGTGGGCTGGAGAGTGAATTGCTGAGGTGGAAGTGAGTCTCTGGGCTTCCGTTTCTCAATGGCGGGTCTTCCCTTCTTCACAGCACTCCTCCTGCATGTGTATGACTCTTGGGGAAAGCCTAGTACTCCTCAGGGACCCTCCTCTTGTCCAGTCCCAAGACAAAGCTCATGGTAGCTCTGCTTTTCTTCCAGGAGCCATGCTGGGTGGAGACCTCAACAGTGCTAATGGAGCCTGTCCTAGTCCCGTTGGTGAGTGTGGCTGCCTTCCGCTGGGTGGCTCAGAGGGACCTAAAGGGAAGGGGAACAGAAACGACAAGGCCTGAGCAGGAGGCATCAGAAGATTTTTAGGACCCTGGATTTTTTGGCTTTTCGAAACAGGGTTTCCCTGTAGCTTTAGAGGTTGTTTTGGAACTTGCTCTGTAGACCAGGCTGGCATTGAACTCGCAGGGATCCACCTGCCTCTGCCCCCCAAATGCTGGGATTAAAGGTGTGCGCCATCAACGCCCAGCCAGGCCCCTGGATTATTTTGGTGTCTACAGCAGTGACTAGTTAGCAGAGGTGTAGGTCAGGAAAACTAAGATTGCATCTACAGTCTATTGACGTGGGAGGTCTAGGAGACAAGTCTCACTATGTAGTCCTGGCTGGCCTGGAACTTGCTGTGTAGACCCAGATGGTGTCAATTCATAGAATCCATCTACCTCTGCTACCTGAGTGTTGGGATTAAAAGTGTGTGCCACCATGCCTGACTATGGTCCAGCATTTTCAAATAAGAGGGGCATCTTGCTGGGATCAGGACTTGCCTAGATAGATGGTAGGCATGCACCAGCCATGCACACAGGATCTGTGCTCCCGTGGAGTCACCATACAGATATGTACCTGTGGGTATACATACCAGAGCCACAGAAGGAAACTACTGCTGCCTCTGTGCTCAGCCACTGCCAGCCAGTTTTGATCTTAGTCTGTGCTGGTGTCTGGCTGGTGACCTTCTAATGTCACCATTGACGTCCCCTGTCATTCTTGCCATTCCCAGAGTGATCTTGGAGCTGGGATAGAGACAGCAACACACTTTGAGAGTAACTGTGTGCTCTCAGGGGACAGAGCAAGGTGGGATTTCACACTGTAGTCACCACCTACATTCCTGAACCTTAGACTCCCCCAGCTCAGTCTCAGCCAATGAACGACCCCTTTCCTGTCCTGGTTATTATGGGTCCTGTGGAAAGGGAGTGGTGGTGAGGGTGCCTCAACAATAGTTGTGCATTGGAGTCACGAGATTATGTACTAGAGGTATGCCCCCTCATTTCCTTGCCCATGGGCCCTTGAGCCCAAAATTGGGAACTCAGTGAGGTGACCTGACAAGGAAACAATCTAGGTGGTTAGCTTGCCCTGGTGACCTGGCTCCTTAATGAAGACCAGATCATAGCCTGCCATCTTTTCCCACTCTAGCACTGGGCATCCTATGTGGAGTGGAGGGAGGGTCTAAGCTGGGCGGGCAAAGGCGTGGCTGTAGGGGGGACAGGACTGGGGATGCTTTTTAGCTCCACATCTGGCCCCACACTCCCATGGCCCCAGCACTTTGGCTTGGAAGCTGAGTTTGGGCTGAGATAGTTGGGGACCAAGGCTTTAGGCTGTTGAGTGCCCACGTGAAACCATAGCCTGCCTCTGAGACCCTCCAGGTGACAAATATGCCTGTCTGGGGTAGTTGGCGGGGACAGAAGGCAGGCCAGCATTTTCCCTTTCCTCATCTCACTTCTCCAGGGAATGGCTACGTCAGTGCCCGAGCTTCCCCTGGCCTCCTCCCTGTGGCCAATGGCAACAGCCTAAACAAAGTCATCCCTGCCAAGTCTCCACCCCCACCCACCCACAACACCCAGCTTGGAGCCCCCAGCCGCAAGCCTGATCTTCGGGTCATCACTTCCCAGGGAGGCAAAGGGTTAATGCATCATTTGGTGAGTGGGTTTCTGGGCCATGGCAGCAACAATGGGGAGGTGGGAAGTGACCTCTAGCAAGAGAAATGAAGGTTAGTGGTCTGTAGGACTGGGGAGCGGGAGAGAATAGGGTGTTTTGTTTGTTTGTTTGTTTGTGAACCTTTTCTTCCCTGGGGCCTTCTGTGAGGTTAGAACACAGTAGTGCTGGCCGGAGGGTAGTAGAAATGAACAGGGGCTGGGAGAAGGGGCTTTGTGATGGAGAGAGTGATACAAAGAATTCACAGTGCAGCATGAGCATAAGGACCGGCTCACGCTGGCTGATGGAGGTCAGGTTACAGCATTTTCTGGATATCAGACGGCCAGAATGGCTAATACATCCTTCTGGGCCAGAAAGAACACTCTGCTCTCAGGCAGACAGGTGGATGGGGTGACTGTGGGAAGGACAGAAGCCATAGCCTGAACATCCTCTTGGTTTTGTTTCTGCTCCCAGACTGAGGACCATTTAGATCTGGTAAGTGTGGCTGAGATCTTAGCAGTGCTTTTGGGTTCCAGCTTTGCCCATGTTATTCAAACTACAGCATGAGTATGAGTGTCATCTTCTCCCTGTGTGTTTAATGTGTGGTGTTTAGTTCCTGGCTGTTTGTCAGGGGCTGTGCTTAGAGCTGAGTGAGGTACTGAGGTGAATGGGGCAGCAGGAAGGACTGGACATGGCATGCATGTGCTTCTGCGTGTGCACGGGTGTCCGTGTTTCACCACATTTATTCAGACACGTATGCGTGTGCATCTGGAAAAGAGCATGAGGCACTCCCCCGGCCTTTGGGGCCCCGGCCAGAAGCATTGGAACCCAAGATACCGACCTAATCCTTACAGAAAAATCTAGGAAAGTCAGTTTTCCAGGGGCAGCTGAGCCCTGAGGCAGGACTGGAATCGTTCTTAGCAAGCACTCCCCTGCCTGCTACTCCTGCCCTGAGCCGGTCTCACAGGCCTTGTACAGCGCTCCATGCTTGCATACTCACCGTCAGCCAGGAAAGGGGGGTGCTTCTTCCCCAGCTTGCTGACAGGAGGCCAGAAAGGCTGGAAAAGGCAAGCGGGCTTTGGCGGCCAACACACCGGCAGTTTCGGCCCCAGCGTGGAGTTGGAATAAACAAGTGACTCAGCAGCAGATGGAGCTGACAGCCCTAAACACATGTGTGCATACATGCCGTCACATGCCACCCAGATCCCACATTCCATTCTCAGACGCCAGGGTACATCCAGGGCATCTGCTGCTGTAATGGGTATAGAGGAGACCCCAGCGGTTCTAGCCCAAGGGAGACCACAGCTCTTGCTTCTGTCCCTCCACCCAGGAGCCAGGGCTGTGTTCATGTTGAGCTCCAGGCCGTCCCTTGCCTTCCTTTCTGCATGGGTGCAGATGCAAGGGAATCTGTGCATGCTTCTCTCTGTGAGGCTTCTAGCCTTTGCTTGTGTGTATGGTGCCTCCCTTGGAATTTAGGGGCCTAGTTCACATATGGTATGGGGGACCACCTTGAGGCAGCCCACCCATTTGCCATCTCTTGACAGACAGTTTTCTCCTACAGAACAATGCCCAGCGCCTTGGGGTCTCCCAGTCTACCCACTCGCTTACCACCCCAGTGGTTTCCGTGGCAACACCAAGTTTACTCAGCCAGGGCCTCCCCTTCTCCTCCATGCCCACTGCCTACAACACAGGTGAGTGTTCATGTAACTTGGTACATTATGCACTTGTACTTAGGACAGGTGAGTGACCAGAGAAGGAGAATGAGAATGCTGGATAGGCCCCGGTCTACAGAAGGTCCTCCATCAATCAGTGTTGTAGTTAGTAGACCAAACAAATAAAAACAGGGTGCCAGGCTGGGGGTGTGGCTGAGTTGGTAAAGTGTTTAACTTGAAGGCATGCATCCTTGGGCTCGGTTTCTAGCACTTCATAAGCCAGATGTGATAGCACATCTGTAACCTGAGCACTCAGGTGGTGGGTACCAGAGGGTCAGAAGTTCAGTGTTACCCTCAGCTACAAAGGGAGTAAGTCCAGCTTGAGCTTCACGAGACTTGGCTAAAGAAAGGGCTCAGTTAGGAGTCCTTGCTGCTCTCCCAGAAAGCCACAGTTGAGTTCCCAGCACCCACATTGGGTTACTCACAGCTACTCACACCCTGTAACTCCAGCTCTAGGAATCCAAGACCCTCTTCTGGCCGCTAGGCACGTACACATGTGTGGCATACACACATACACATACATACACAAAGTAATATTTTTAAAGTTTATAAACAGAGAAATAACAAAATTCTTGGGTAAATTTGAGCTTCAGATAAAACAAGTATATTCTCTGTGCTAAAATATATCCCAAAGACATGATTATGATTTTTTTAATGCATTGTTTCTAGAAGTCTGCTTTGAAGTGAGTATCTTTTACTTTTAGCATAGGTGCTTATGGAAGAGTAACCCCTGTCCAGTGTTGGGGGTGAGGGGCAGGATGGAGAGGTGGCCCGAGCAGATGATTCAGGCCACCAGGCTAATAGACTTGAGGTTTGAACCCGGGGAGGAGAACATGATCCGTGCACAGGGCCTCCTGGGGGTGCAGAACAAGGGAGCCGGCTGCTGGGGTGCAGAGTGGGCTTGTTCAATGCAGCAGTGGGGGCAGGGCAAGGCTGGCGAGGGCTGGATGGGTCTGAAGGGGACACGGGAAAGGCCTCTGGATAGAGCTGGTGGGGCGTGCGGTGCACGCTGACATGGGTCCCCAGTCACCCACACCTTCCCCCAGAACAGTGTGCGGTGCTCCCGGCCTTCCTTGCCAGCCTTTTACTCTGCGCTGCTGTGTCTGTCAGAGACCTGCTGGTGGGGAAATGCTTTGTCACCTGTTTTCAGAGCTTTTGGCTGTAGGCTCGTTCCCAACAAGGTGGCCATTTCCCACCTCAGCCACTGGCCCTCACAGTTTAGTGACCTAGGCTCAGACTGTTTGTGTGGTGAGTGTAAACTCTCCCACCTCCCTAAGTCCTCTTAAAGCTGAGGCAAGTTAAGGTATAGACTCCACTACCGATATCCACAAACCCCACCTTTGCCCTCCTTCCCCGCAGTGGAAGAAATCCTGAGTGGGAGACGGCAGCCTGGTTCATGCTTCTACAGGGACAGGCTATTGAGTCCAGGCAGACTTTCCTGCCCGAATGGCTGGGGAAAGGCTGCTTCAGAAATGGCACCCTGTGGGCCTGTCTCCTGTCAGGGATATTAGTAGATGAGAGGACTATGAGGCTCTTCTAGCCTGCCCCCACCCCACCCCACCCCACCGCAAGGGTAAGGAGAAGTCTTCCTAAGTCTAACAGGAGAATGGGCTAAACACAGCTCAGATCTCCTTGGAAGCTTTGTTTGGGAATCCTACCATGGTGACCCTGCTTTTCCCATTCAGTCTTGTGAAAGAGGAGGGAAGTTAGTGTACATCAGTGAACCTGAAACAGGCTCTTGACAGAGCTGGCCATGGACTCTTGTATCACTGGGGTGTCAAACAGCTTTGGCCTCCGAGAAAGCAGGGCTCTAGTTCCTATTGCCACAGGGGTAGCTAAGCAGTCTTCTGTCAGCAGAAGACATTTGTGGGTACCCCATATAGTGTAAGCCAAACTCCAGCAGGTGCTGGGTCATCTACTCTGGTAATATTCTTCATAAGAGATGGGCCCAGCCCTTGTGGACACAGCTTTAGAGGTCTGTCTGTGAAGACAGCCAGATGGACTGGGGCTTGACCTCGAGGCCCTTAGGAAATAGCTTTCCAGTAAATAGAGCTAGTGTGGTGGGATGGGGCAGGACTAAGAGTTGGGTTGTTCTGATCCCTCCCTAGGTCCTTGAGCAAGGCCCTGCGCTGTTCTGGACCTGGCTTCTTCCTTGTTTTAAAATAAGCATTAACTATAGTTAGTCCTAGGCCCATATTTTGCTCTTACACCACTCTTTTTTTTTTTTTTTTTTTTTTTTTTGGTTGGTTGGTTTTGGTTTTTGGGTTTGGGGCTTGGGGTTTTTTTGAGGTCGGGTTTCTCTGTGTAACCCTGGCTGTCCTGGAACTCACTGTGTAGACCAGGCTGACCTCAAACTCAGAGATCCACCTGCCTTTGCTCCCAAGTGCACCACCACCAGCTCTCTTACACTGCTTTTTAAAACCAGGAACCAGGTGTCTGGAGACATGGGTCAGCAATTAAAATCACTGACTGCTCTTCAGAGGACCTGCGTTCAGTTCCCAGCACCAACATGGTAGCTTATAACTAACCCCAGTTCCAGGGCATACGACACCCTCACACATACATATATGTAGATGAAACACCAATACACTTAAAATAAGAATAAATTATTTTTTTAATTCTAGGAAAACTTTAAAAACATAAAAAACAAAAGACCTAGTAATTGGCATTGACCAGGCTATAGTGAGGCTGGGTATAGTAGCACACACCTTTAATCCCAGCACTCAGGAGTCAGAGGCAGGCAAATGTCTATTAGTTGAAAACCAGCCTGGCCTACATACTGAATTCTAGGTCAGCCAGGGCTACATGGTGTGACCCTGCCTCAAACAAACAAACAAACAAACAAATAAGATTGTTGGAGAGGTTTGGAGTGCAGAGCAGATGAGTGGGTCAGTGGTGAGTTCTTGTTAGCATGTTCGAGGCCTGCATTGTGAGAACAATAAATAAAGGCAGTGAAGTAGCCAGGGCTCTCTGGAGTGCTACCACGAGCAGGCAGCTCCTCAAACCTGAGGCTCCTCCATCTTCTGAGAGCAGTTGTGCCTGGTCAGTCGTGGAGTGTTCACTAGGAGCTCAGTGCTGTTGCTGTCCTACATGCCTTCTGAAGAACATGCCACCTGCTGATGGCTCTGCTGTAGGAGGGGTTGCTAACCCTGCTGAAGACAGTATTTGCCCCAGATCTCATAGTGAGTGGAGGTTGCCAAGAATCTCTCCTCATCCTCGGAGCTGTGGATGTTACAGAGGTCAAACTCTCTTCCTGCACAAACAGGGCTATAGCAAGTGACCTTCGATACACTGTGGAACATAAGTTGGGGTGACTGGACAGTACATCTCTTTCTAACATGTCTTCCCACTGTGTTCATATCTGTGGCTTTTGTGGAAGGTTTTTTTTTTTTTTTTTTTTTTTTTTGAGACAGGGTTTCTCTGTATTGTTTTGGAAGCTCTCCTGGAACTCGCTTGGTAGTCCAGGCTGGTCTCGAACTCACAGAGATCCGCCTGCCTCTGCCTCCCGAGTGCTGGGATTAAAGGCGTGCGCCACCACTGCCCGGCTGTGGAAGATATTTCTAAATACCTCAAATAGCATGAAGCATGCTAGAGCTGTGGGAATGGGTGAGGCACTTAACTGGTCACCTGTTAACAGGGCAGATGTCAGTGTTTTCCTTAAGATCAGTGCTAAAGACAAAGCAAGTTCCCCCATGATGCAGTGTCCCCCAGGGTAGGCCCTGAAGCCCCTCTCTGCTTCAGGGACATGAGTAGTGGATGGCAGACTCTTCTGTCTCTATGCAAGCAGCAGCTTGAGCCCTGTTTTTGTTGTTGTTTGGTTGGTTTTTCGAGACATGGTTTCTCTGTGTAGCCTTAGCTGTCCTGGAACCTGCTTTGTAGACCAGGCTGGCCTTGATCTCACAGAGATCTGCCTGCCTCTGCTTCCCAAATGCTGGGATTAAGGATGTGAGCCACCGCCGCCCAGCTTAGCTTGAGCCCTGTTGAGGGAGAGTCTAGACATGTGGGATGCCTGTGGCCACTGCTCCCAGAGCTCTCTTTGGCCTGACACTGGACAGGTGAAGAGTCTGCTGTTACACCCACACTGAGCCGTCTCCATTGCCTTCCTCATTTGCTTATAACTGTCCTGACAAAAGAAGTACTTGATTGATTTTTAAAACTGATACTATTTTAAATCTGTGAGTGTCATTTTCATGAATGTCTTCATTTCACATCTGTGGTTCGACAGCAGCTACCCTCCCCAAAGGGGTGGGTGAGGAGCTCCCCCTCAGGTTGCCCTCCTTTCTCTTACTACAGATTACCAGCTACCCAGTGCAGAGCTATCCTCCTTACCAGCCTTCAGCTCACCTGCAGGGCTGGCACTAGGCAATGTCACCGCCTGGCAACAGCCCCAGCAGCCCCAGCAGCCACAACAACCACAGCCTCCACAGTCACAGCCACAGCCACAGCAGCCACAGCAGCCACCTCAGCAACAGCCCCACTTGGTCCCCGTGTCCCTCAGCAACCTCATGTGAGTCTTTGGGAGGCTTTCCATGGGGATGGTAGGAGGTGAGGGACAGAAGGTCTCCTTGGAATTGAATCGTCTGTGTTCATTAAGTGGCAGGACTGAGGGTGTGGGCTTTAGAAGATGGTGTGGACAGAATGGAGCTAACGCTCATTTCTCTTCTTTCCCTTTGACATGTGTCTCCCCCTCCTCCCCACCCTCACTCTGTTCTGTTTTGACCCTTCGGTGACTTCTTCCCACTTTTGCTGTTATCACCTCCTATGTTTCTGACCCCTGAACTCCAGCCCAGGCAGCCCCTTGCCCCATGTGGGTGCTGCTCTCACCGTCACCACCCACCCCCACATCAGCATCAAGTCAGAACCCGTGTCCCCAAGCCGCGAGCGCAGCCCAGCACCTCCTCCACCAGCTGTGTTCCCAGCTGCCCGCCCTGAGCCTGGTGATGGCCTCAGCAGCCCAGCTGGAGGAGCCTATGAGACCGGGGACCGGGATGATGGACGGGGGGACTTTGGGCCCACACTAGGCCTGCTGCGCCCAGCCCCAGAGCCTGAGGCTGATGGCTCAGCTGTGAAGAGGATGCGGCTGGATACTTGGGTACTGTAATACTGCCCTTCTGTCTGCCAGGGTCTGCGTCACCCAGGGACTGCCCCATGCACTCAGCCTGCTTTCTTTCCCGCCCGAGAGGCCTTGTGGCCAGGCGTTCCCTTTGGGTCAGTGCTCACAGCCCTTGACCCCCTCCTTGAAGCGTTGTGCAGCTCAGTGACTTCCAGCTGTCCTCACCCTAGAGTTTTACCCATTGGGAGGGGGTTGGGTGCATCCTATAGGCCAAGCTGCCCCTCACACCACGTTTCCATCTCCTCTCTTCACAGACATTAAAGTGACGGTTCCCACCCCTCCTCTCAGCCTCCCTGATGAAGAGTTGACAATCTCACTGCCCACCCCTCCCTGTCCTGGGCTCCTCCCGCTCGACCCCCACTTCCTTTCTTCTGCTCCATGTCCTGTTGATGGCTACATTTGTGTATAATTATATTATTATTATTATTATTATTATTATATTTTTAAATTCGAATTCTCGCTTTAGAGAGAGGGATGCTCTTGCCCCGCCATTTTCACTGGTGGGGGACTCTCTTTATTGCGGGAAGGGGGGACACTTTGCACGTTGTACACATATGCTGCAGGAGGGGGCGGCAGGCCGTGGAGAAGGATGGGTGCGGAGTCCTGCATGTGGGGCCTCCCATCCATTTCCCAGATAGATGTAAAGAACCAAAAACGACCCAACACAGAGACCCAGACAGTCGACTGACCCCAAAGCTGGCTTGATGACGGGTTTGTGTCTCAGGGACAGGAAGAGGCAGACTCTGCCTCTGGGCTGTTCATGGCTAATGCCCGTCTTGTTCCGTCCAGCTTCCTGCGTATACACCACACTCCCTGATCCTGTGCACTGCACCACAAGATCTGGGTGCCATGCTAGGCAGGCTGCCTGGAATCTGAGGCCGGGCAGGGGCTTGAGGTAACATTGGAGGGAGACAGCTATAGAGAGAAAGAGGGCTAATGAGGGCGTAAGGACTGGGTGTGACGAATTGGGACCCTACCCCTGGCTTTTCCTTTAAAATGTACAGTGCAATAGATTCCCATCCTCAGCCACGTACTGGAAGAGTCGGCCGAGGACCTTCTGTGAAGTGGCTCCGGGTTGGTCAGAGTCAGCCTTTGGTTCCCTGGGGCACTGAGGGCAGGAGGCCTGTCGGGGGCAGGCGTGGGGCGGGCACCTCTCTGTTCTGCACACCCACACCCTGAAGAGTACACATTAGGCACACAGCATGGTCTGTGGTGCTAGAGGTTCCTATAGATGTGGCCCCTCCCTCCCCTGTCCTAGCTCCGCCCCTGACCCACCTCCCAGCTCTTCGAGTGCTCCTTGTCTGGCTACCTCCTGTTCCTCCACCTCCAGGCCACACCCCAAACCTGCCCTCTTGCTACTGTAATTGTAAATAGCGACCTTCCAAAATGTTAGTGGTTAACAGTCCAGGAAACTGTTGTGTTTGTTGTTGTTGTATTGATATGAAATGAGATTCTATTTTTGTCAAAGTATATTGTAATAATAATGACTCATGGCCCGTACTGTACAGATGGGATTCTTCTGCTGCTCTTGCCGTCCTCTCCCAGACTTGTGCTCTGTCAAAGCCTCCTCCGTGGGGCCGCAGGCAAGCACTCAGGGGCAGTGCAAGCATTGGGTCCTCAGGCCTCTTGCTGAATCTGAGATCAAACTGGAGGGAATGGACACACCCCCAGCCTGCTCTCTGTCACCACCCCTCCCCGTTCCTCTGCCTCCTCACCCAGGGAAGAGGATGGGAGGCAGCACACACTCCCTTGGGGCTTCCTCCCAGTTGGAGGGTAGAGTTAGACAAGGCTCAGTGTTGTAGTGAGATGGTCCTTGCCCACCTGTGACCCAGCCTTTTGTAGTATTTGACACTTGATGCAGGGAAGGAGCCAGAAGCAGAGGGGTGTGAGCATGCTCGTGGGAGCGTTCTGGGTGCACCCTGTATTTATGTGTTTGTGTGCAGCTGTGTGGATGTACCTTTGAGTGCCTGAGTCCAGTGGGTGTATTCGTAAATCTTATGTGACTCAGGCTCCAAGGGCCTCTGTGTCTGTGTGGTTGGGTGTGTTTACACAGGGATAGGTGGCTTCCAATTCTGTAGCTCTCACTCCGCTCTTCCCTGGGCTGCTCTCGGGCCTGAGACATTTGTTCTAAAGTTATAGGGAGTTGCTAGTTGGCCATTGCTTCTCCCCACAGCCTACCTCCACCAGGGCCTCCCTCTGTCTCCACATGGCTGCCCACCAGTCCCACCCAGACCACTTCTGACCCTGGAGTTCTCACTTGTTTATGGAGCAAACTCAAGTTCCTCTTCCTGGTGGGAGCTTTGCCCTCCATAAGGCAGGGTCTCTCCTTCACCTAGAGTTTCACCCCAGTAGCTGACCAGGCAAGGGTGTCACACAGGCAGGCCCTGGCTTCCCACCCCTCCTCACAGGGAGTTGTAAGACATGCTTAAGGCCTTGAAAGAAGCCGGGTGTGGTCCTGTGCAGGAGAGCAGCTGGTACATTGCAGTCCCCCAGTAAATGCTGCATGGGCGAATGATAGGTGCTCAATGAATACGGAATCACAGGCCTCTTCAGGCCACCTTTCTAAGCTGAGCTTGGCCACACAGCTCAGGGTGAGGCCCCTGAGGTCCACAGTGTGCTACTCAAGTTTGCCATCTGCTCTCGGAAAGCAAGCCTGGCTTCTGACTGCCATGTATGTGTGTGTGTGTGTGTGTGTGTGTGTGTGTGTGCGTGCGCACGCACGCGCGCGCGTGTCTGTCCCTGACGATCAGGACAGTCTGAATGAATATATATGTGACATTTCTGCAGTTCAGTATCTCCAGGTTTCTCCTGGGGCTATGTAGGGGCTTCTGGCTGGCCAGGTAAATGGATCCCTGGGAACCCAGACCTCAAACGGGGACTTGTTTTCTTCCTCTCACAAGCCAAATTTGCCTCCTATCCACTCCCTCTGCAAAACTGGGCATTTGCCAAAGTAGCCTCTGGTGTCATCCAGTGCTCTTCCCACCCAGGGTTCCCTCAGCTTTCAGGGAGAGGGACTGAGGGCCACCCCCCATGCCTCAGTGGAACACATCCCCCCCCCCCAGAAGTGCGCTCGACCATCCCTCCCCACCTTGGACAGGCAGGAAGAAACATGCACCTTCTCTTGCTGGTTCTTTGTTTGTTTGGAGAGACAGAAATGATGTAATGTATCTAAAACTCTCTCTGTATGCTTTTAACGGACTCTGGAACCCCCTGTGGGGGAATGTGGGCTCTCCTGGAGGCTGGGGGCTCCACCCCCTTCTGCCTCCTGCTTAAGCAGAGGGATGGAACTTAATGGGGCAGGACTAAGACTCCCAAGGAGAATCTGAATTCTCTGCTCCATTCAAGTCCCAGAGAGAGGGAAGTAGGAGGGGGGTGGGACCAGCCAAGAGGTGACCCATCCCCAAACTTGACAATCACCCACACTCCTGGCTCCTGGGTCTTGGGGCAGGGTGAGTCCAAGTGTGTGGCTGTTGATTTGTTTTCATTATTTCTTTCCGTGCTGTACGGTGATGCTTTCTAGTATTCTGCACATTAAGAAAAGACAAAGTCCTCGAGATTCTTACAAGTTTGGTTTGAAAACTCTTTCACTATATTTGTTGTAAAGAGGTTTACTATTAAAAGAAAAAAAAGAACATGTTTCTGATACCTCAGTCTGGGTTTTGATTTCTTTAGTGCGTCAAGTACCAGAGTGAGAGTTGATTATCTGAGGACAGGCTTCTCGGGCACACTCAAGGTAGAAGCAGCCCCAGGACTGAGTCTCGAGAGGGGTGGTCCAGGTAGAAGCCTTGAAAGGAACCCTGCAGCACAGGGAAACCAAATGTTCTTGGGGTGGGCGCAGCCTTCCCACTCCAGTCTTTCCTGGCCGAGTCCTCGGCACAGCTGAACAGGTGGAGCCCACCCTGCTGTCAGGTCCAGCATCCTGCCCCCTTCCTTCCTCTTAGCAGCACAGCCAGGCTGTCAGCAGATCGGCAGCTGAAACCCTGACACCCTGCTCTGCACCTGGTCCACGCCGTGGGCTGAGGCAGCCAAGTGTGTGAGGGGCCTTTGCTCAGTGGCTACACCTGCCCTGCAGTGCTTAAGATGGCAGTCTCCTGCTCGAGAGAACAGGAGTCAAGTCAGGCAAGGCACAGAGTGTCCTCCAGCCTCAGATTTCCATATTGCAAAATACTTATCTGTGTTGGCCCTGCCTTTCTCACAAGGTCACTGTGGATTTCACCTCACTTTTTCCTCAGCAGTGGCAAGACATGGTGTCCTGATCAAGAAAGGGTTAATACGGTATTGTCCTCTGGGCTGGGGCTGCAGCTCAGTTGATAGAGCGCTTGTCTAGTGTCTCCGGTACCACGTCTAAGCGTTGTACATACACTAGTAATTGTAGGTATAGGCAGGGGGAGGAAGGTCAGGGTCCTCTTCAGCTCCATGGGTTACGTGAGACGCTGTCTGAAAGAGAGGCATGTATCACTGTCCTCCAGAGGCTGCTCAGACAGCAGCTTCCACGGTGGCCCTCCCACTGCCCCTCCCTGCATCCCACTGCCCGAGTGAGCAACAGAAAAAGGTGAGCAATGGTATGCCCTTTCAAGTGGGAAGTGTGGTTTCTGCTTTTCTTGTTATCTGCCCTTACGTTATGCTGTACAACCGGCCCTGTGGAAAGCCCACATGCCAAGGACCTGTGGGCTCCTACCAGCTGCCATTTGAATGAGGTCATCCTCTCCAGCAGTATAGTTGCCTAACTTTTCCAGACGCTGCTCCAGGGGAGAACCTGCAGGTAAGATGTACTTACTGCCCAGCTCATCTATGCCCATGGGGAGGTCTTTTTCTCTGGGGTGACCTCACAACTAAATCCTTAGCAAAACATTTGTGCTCAGTGCATCTCCCATCTGCCTCAGACTGTCTGGCCTCCTCTGCCTTCCTAGAAGGTACTGACTGCCGGAGTCTGAGATAAGCCTTATTGTTACTCACAGACTTCCTGTTCCCTCTCTCTTCTGGTGTCTTTCCAATCCCCATGAAGTTCAATGGTATCTTGGGACTGGATCTGGCCAATGAATTAATGGGCTGTCATGTATGTCCATTCTGAAATATAGGTAGGCCCTGCCTCTCCAAGTACTGTTTCCCTGTCTTGAGCATCCTGTGAAGTGCTGCCAATCAAAGTAGCCCGTGTTGGGTCTGACGCCCTCTTCTGGCATCTACAAACATTGCATGCAGGTAGTGCACAGACATACATGCAGGGAAAACACTCATACACACACGTATTTAAAACAACCTGGATTAGTAAACCACCCCAGGGTGGTATTGGCACCAGGGGAACTTTATGTGAACAGAAATGAAACCTGCGCTGTGATTCCTATCCTGGCCAGTGCAGTACCTTTCCCACTCAGTCATGGAGCCCTGGCTGTTTAAGACCATGACAGTGTGACACAGGGGTCTCTGGACTCGGCATAGTCACGTGTGCTGTAGCTGATACTCGCTGGCTGTTCCTGTACCGCAGCGCTAACAGCTGCCTCTCCTTTAACTCCCACCTGCCCCTCCATCTTCAGCCCTGTTGACAGTCTGACCCCTCATGGTCCTCCGCAGCTCGCCACATAGAGTGCAGAGGCCTCACCCGTTCTCAAGGCCTTCAAAGGCTGTACAGGCCCCTTCCAGGCTTAGTCCATGCTGTTCCTTGAACTCTAGGTGTACACGAGAACAGAAAGGAACCAAATGATTCCTACTTCCCATAGGAACAGGAGACAGAGGACCAGCAGAAACTGCTTTTAAGATGAGAAGCCAGGCACACCCACTCGAAACTAGTGGTCTGGGAGAGATGTCTTAGAGGAGTCATTTGAACTGAACTTTTGCAAACATGTAGGAATTTCCTAGGCATATGGGGCCTTAAGGAAACCAACCACCAGTAAAAGCCAAAGAAAACAGCCTGTGGGGCTGCCGGGGTGGGTGGAGGCTGTGTGAAGGGCCTTCCTTAGCAAGATGGGCTTTATTCTACACAATTTAGGCCATCAAGAGTATGAACGGGGCTGGAGAGATGGCTCGGTGGTTAAGAGCACTGGCTGCTCTTCCAGAGGTCCTGAGTTCAATCCCAGCAACCACATGGTGGCTCCCAACCATCTGTAGTGGGATGTGGCGCCCTCTTCTGGTATAAAGTAGATAGAGCATACATATACATACAATAAATAATTCTTACTTTAAATAAAATTCTCTTCAACTTTATGCACTTATTTCATGTATGAGTGCTCTGCATGTACACCTGCCCGCCAGCAGAGGGCACCAGATCTCATTACAGATGGTTGTGAGCCACCATGTGGGTGCTGGGAATTGAACTCAGGACCTCTGGAAGAGCAACCAGTACTGACCCCTGAGTTATCCCTCCAGCTCTAAAATTATTAAGATTGAAGCATCCAGTCCAGTCAAGGCTACATAATATGACCATATTTTTAAAAAATACTAAAACAATTTTTATATCAATTGAGATGGGTTTATTTTTATATAAATCTTGACTGGATATTTGACAGTTTACAATGTAGACTCTCTTCAATATGTTTCAGAATTAATATTTTGATCTCACAATTGTTAACACTGAAATCCCAGTAAGAGATGGAGGCATCAGAAGTTCAAGTTCATCCTCTGCTATATAGTGAATTCAGGATAACAAGGAATACATGAGACTCCGTTGAAAAAGAAGTAAAAACGGCTGGAGAGATGGCTCAATGGTTAAGAGCACTGGTTGCCCTTCCAAAGGTCCTGAGTTCAATTCCCGGCAACGACATGGTGGTTCACAACCGTCTGTAATGAGATCTGGTGCCCTCTGCTGGTCTGCAGAACACCCTGTACTTGACAAATAAATCTTTAAAAAAGAAAGAAAAATAAATAAAATGAAACAATGTCACCTGGCATTAGTGGTGCATGCCTTTAATCCCGGCACTCAGGAGGCAGGACAGTCAGTCATCGAGTTAAGAAAATTAAAAAATACTCCCAAGGTATAACTCTTTTCCACTTCTCTCCTTTTAAGCTGAAGGACAGGCTCCTTAAGTACTGTCATATAAAACGGGACTACGGTCTGGGTTTCTTAGACTTAGCTATCAGGTCAGTGGTTCTTAGGAGGCGGGGCGCAATTGGTGATGCCTGTCTGATTGTTCATGCCATGGGGCCAGTCCAGTTATTATGGGTTAACTTTTCCGGCCTTGCGACTGCGTGGAAACTTATTTAAGGAGCAGCAGATGTGTAAGGAGCCCAGGGCGATCCCACCTCAAGCTCGTAATTAAAGCGGCTCCTAGTGGAACCAGTAGCCGGGACTCGGACATATGCAGCCTGAAATCGCTGTGTCTGCCTGGACAAAGGGCAAGACCATCCTCCTGCCCCGTCTCCCAGTCTCGGGTCTGCAAGGGAAGAGACAGCCGGTAGCGTGCACAGCCTCGGTCCTCTGCACCCAGCGGTTCCGATCGGTGTGCGGCCGGTCAGCTCGGGCCTTCGGCGGGCTGCGTGTGTCACATTTACCCCGAGCCCTGAGCTAGCTCAGCCCCACCTCTCAGCGCCCGTCGCTTTCCGGGAAGCGTCTCCACCCTCACAGGACGGCAGCCCACGACCGCTCCTATTTAGGACATGAGCTGTCACGTGCACGAAGCATGCTGGGTGACCCCGGGGAGAAGACCTGCGGGACGCCGGGTCACGCGCCGGCCAGGCGCCGCCCCCACGTGACCCGCGGTATGTTCCGGCGGGCGATGAAGTGCTTCCGGGTTTCCAGGCAAACCTCCATTCTAAAGAGAAACGGGGGAGGTACACAAGGCAGGCGCTAAAGTCCGCTGGCATCCATTTGCACACGTTTGGCCCCAGAGGCGTCCCTGAGCGCTTGGCTGCCGTTCGTGGGCGGCAGAACTCGGCCCCCAGCCGCTCCGAGAGCGGCGCCGCGCGTGAACAAAGGCCTGCAGGCCACGCCCGGCACCGCCGCTGCTCGCTGGGAAGTAGTCCTAGGCTCACTCCATTGGCTCTTGCGGTGAGTGATGGAAGCGTCAGCCAACCGCTGCCTGCACAAGACGCGTGCGCGCTTCAAGACTTAGCGCTCCAGGGAAAAAGCCACTGCTTTCGGCTGTCTCTCTGGGGCTTCGGGAAGGTGCGCGTGCGCAAATCGCCTCCGTCGACTCCCTTCTCAGATTGAGGGAGTTGGCGCCTCTCGGCCCTCCTGGCTCTTTTACAGAGATTATCAGATCGGCGTAAGATCTGGCATTGCCTGGACGTCCAGAAGGAGCATCTGAGAGGCGAATGCAGCCGTTTGTCACAGTCAAAAGTGTTGTTACCTACAAAGTTCACGCCGAAGAACTGCACGGTTGAGTTACAAAAAGAACGGGAAAAAAAGTCGCGGGGCTGGAGATGTAGTTCATTTGCACAGAGGCTGGGTTTCGACCTGGTATTGCATAGAACAGATATAGTGGCAGATGCCTATAATCTAGGCACTTGGGATGAGGGTGAGATGGATTAGGAGTTGTAGGCCAGCCTACAGAGGACAGCCACAAACGGTTTTGTGATGTGTTCTGCCTTAATGGGCCACAGGTTAGACACGCCTGACTGTATTTTCCTGTCCTCTGGCAGTAAGGTTATAGTGCGAATAGCCTGGGAGCTCTTGGCCTGAATCTACAGAAGCCCCGTAGTAGTAAGAATCATGGTTTGGAGAGAACGTTTCACAGCTTGTCAACTGCCTTATATCCTTTCAAGAGAGCCTCAGTCTCTCCAGTGAATTGGAGGTGTAGCTTAATGACAAAGCACTTGCCTAGCAGAGTTCCATTCCCAGCCTACGATGACCAACAAAACCGTGTGGAAAGGTGGACGGCCCGGTCACATGCTTAGAATTAGGATGTTGGTGTCCCAAAACACTAAAGATGAAGCAACCGAAAGCCCCCCTCCCCACCCAGGGTTCTTTTACTTTTAGGATCTACCTGCTCACAAAGAACTGGTGTCTAGTTGGGGTGGTTGCCTTTCAAGGAAGAGAGTAGGTACAGTTACAGTCAGAACACTAGAAACATGCTGCGGCTGGTCTAAGCATGCTTGAAGGAAATGAGGACAGAGTCCACAGGTTGTGACTGCAGGGGTCAGGTCAGGGATCCAGGAAACCTCAGAGCATTGCAAACACCTGAGAGCACCTCCTGGGGGTCGAAGATAACAAAATAAAAGCTTTACAAGAGTAGAGGGATGATAACCATGGGGTGCTGATAGTTAACTGGAGACAGACAGAGGCTGAAACACAACAACACAGGTGGATGCTATTGGCAGTGTGCTATACTTGGTTGAATGTTGCATTTCTGGCTATTCGTTTGTATGTATGAAATATAGTTTAGAGGGTGATGATGCAGTGGCCCTAGTGACAGAAACTACTTGAGAAAGTAAGGATTGCAGGTGCAAGACCGGCTTACGTTGCAAAGTCAGTTCAAGGCCAGTGTTCTAGTTTGCTTTCTAAAGTTGTGACAAACTCCCCTTGCTCCTCCCAATAAATTCCCCGCCTGGCAGCCCCTTCTGGTCCTCCTCACTCCATCCACCTGATACTGACAAGGGCCTGAGTTAAGACAGTTAACTCGTTAAACAATATAGACTCTTTGCTTTTGCATCGGAATGGGTCTCAGTGATTTTGGGGTTCAGAACTCGGGCACAACACTCCCTTTCACCTTTAGGGACTAGAGATGGCTCAACGGTTCAGCACACTTGTTCTTCCTGAGGGAAGTTCAGTTCCCAGCACCCACATGGTGGCTCACAGCCATCTGTAAATCCAGCCACAGAGAATTTGACACTTTTTGGCCTCTGAGGGCACTGGACATGCTCGTGGTGCATAGACATTCATGCAGGTAAAACACCTGCACAGGTAACATTAGAAAGAAGAGAGAGAATGAGCATAGTAGATGCTTACTAAGTATGTGTCGGTCCTTGGGTTTAATTCCCAATACTTCAAAATAGAGCAAATTAGTCCAGAGAAAAATGTAAGTGAATAAATGATATTGCAAATAGTGCAAAATGCTCAGTGTAAAATCAGGTACTGATCCAACATGCTGCCCTCTCCATCCTTAAAAAACTCATACAGGCCGGGCGGTGGTGGCGCACGCCTTTAATCCCAGCACTTGGGAGGCAGAGGCAGGCAGATCTCTGTGAGTTTGAGGCCAGCCTGGCCTACAGAGCGAGTTCCAGGACAGCCTCCAAAACAATACAGAGAAACCCTGTCTGGAAAAAACAAAAACAAACAAACAAAAACTCATACAGTTTTAGAAGTTCTTGGGATTCTGTTGGCGTGGAAAAATGGTGCAGAGCTTGTCAAGCATGTGCATTGTTGAGGGATTTACTCCCAGGAAGAGGGAGAAAAGGAGGCTGGCAGCAGCATGGTGTTTAGAGACAAGCACACTAAACTGAGCATCTCCAGCCCATACACAGATCTTTAAAAGAAAAAGAGGGAGCTATGGGCTGGGGTGGAGACGAGGTGGCACCAGCTGCGGGGAGCAGATAGATACTGACATAGGCCCGAGGGGCCTGGCTCTGACCCTCGATAGGCGAGGAGTAGGATGACTCAGATTTTCTTGTCATCTCATCGTTTTTCCACTAGAGTTAAAAATACCACCAAGTATAAGACATTAAGTATCCCAGACCCAGGAGTAGACAAACAAACCGCTAGCTAAGGGGTGGAGGATAGGGTGAGTCTGTTTCTGCTTGGGAGAGGATTTTCAAAGGGCTGTGCCATCTGCAGAAAGAGAGAAAACCACACAGCAACACAGGAGGCGTTGACAAGGAACCCACCCACTGCTTCATTGTATAAAAAAGGAAATGGGCCCAGAGAGGGAAAGCAATTTGTCTAAGTTCACACAGCAAGTGAACTCAGAAATGAACCTCAAATTGTGGCAAGGACTCACATCTCATACCTTTATGCTCCTCCCAGCTGAGCCCAATATGAACAGGTGAGCCGGGCACATTCCTATAATCTCAGCACTCAGGAGGCAGATCTCTGAGTTTGAGGCCAGCCTGACCTACAAAGTGAGTTCCAGGACAGCCAGGACTACACAGAGAAACCTGTCTGGAAAAACAAAACAAACAAAGAACAACAACAACGCCTTTTGAATCCTGATGACCTAAGTTTGATTCCTGGAACCCATGTAAAGGTAGAATCATACACACACACACACACACACACACACACACACACACACACACACACACGAATACAAGATATCTCAGTGGTTAGGAACACTTGCTGCTCTTGCAGAAGACCCATGATCCAGGTTTGGTTCCTAGCACCTATACTAAGTAACTGACAGCTGCCTTCATCTCCAGCTCCAGAGAGTCTAATCCTGTCTTCTGACCTCTTCCGGCATTAAATACACGTGGCGCACATACTGACATCAGTAGACAGTGAATTTAAAAGAGCAGTAACAAGTACCTGTCATGCATTCCTTTTCACTTCTTGATGTCATAATAATAAGCACGTTTCTGCAGTTTTTCTTTTAATAGGTATGAGTGTTTTGTCTGCAAGTGTGCTTGTGCATTACGTGGGTATCTCGTGTCCACGGAAATCAGAGAAGGATGCCCTGGGACTCAAAACTATCCATGTGGGTGCTGGGAATTGAACCCAGGTCCCCTGCAAGAGCAGTCAGTGCTCTTAACCACTGAACCATCTCTCTGGACCTCCTCTTTCTTTGGGATGTTCTCTCTAAATCCGTCCCTATGGTACGCATCACCACAGCTCCGTAGGTCATCCTCACTGTCATTATGCATGAAAATTACCAAAATTTCTTAACTACCAGTAAGATTTCTGTTTAAAGCATAGTTGTTTTTTCCTTCCTCAGTTATGTAGATTTTGCTCTTTTTTTTTTTAGTTTGTTTGTTTGCTTTTGTTTTTCCTTTTTGGTCTCTTTTGAAATAGGGTCTCTCTATGTAGCTCCTGCTCTGTGTAGATTATGCTGTCTTCAAACTTTGCCTCTGCTGAGATTAAAGGTGTGTGTTCAGTTATATTTAGTTAATACACAGTACTCTCCTCATTCCAGAGAGCTTTCTCTTTATCAGATGTTTTATTCCCTCATAAAATCTGTGGCCTCAGCTAGGCATAGTGGCTCACACCTTTAATCCCAGCACTCAGGAGACAGAGGCAGGCGGATCTCTGTGAGTTCAAAGCCAGCCTGGTCTACAGAGCAAGTGTCAAGACAGCCAGGGCTACACAGAGAAACCCTGTCTCAAAAAACAACAGAAAGCAAAACAAACGAACAAAAAACTTTGGCCTCTAAGCTTGAGCATAGAGCTTTGTTCTTTCAGTAATGTGGTTGTAGTGCATGCTGAAGTTCTTGTGAAGAAAACTGCAGCCACCATGCCTCTGTGCAAGCCATTATCTCTGCCAAAAGGCACAGTGCTCTTTCCTATTCGGTCACACTGAACAGAGTGTTCTCTCCACTCACTTGATGCTGGGGTCCAAGGGATTTTTCTGATAAAAGCAATAACCTAACTGCTACCAGTATGAGTGTCATAGCACCCCTCTCACTGTCGGGAAGGCCATGTTTAATCTGGAAAGAAAGCATTGCTCTTCTTCAAGTGCTGGATCACACCTATAGCCCAGCACTTGGGAAGCCAAAGCAGGGTTTCTGTGAGTTTGAGGCCACCCTGGGCTAAACAAGACGGGGTTGGAGAGATGACCTGGTGGTTGAGAGTGCTTACTGCTCTTGCAGAGGACCCAGATTCAGTCCCCAGCACCTCCATTGGATAGTCCACAGCCTCCTGTAGCTCTAGCTCCGAGCAATCTGCTCTCCTTTTCTGGCCTATGTTGGCACTGAACTCAACATGCACACACACACACACACACACACACACACACACAGAGTCTGAAAATACATATACACATAATCTTAGTTATGGTTTCTATTGTTATAACACAACACCATGACCAAAAAGCAAGTTGGAAAGCAAAGGGTTTATTTGGCTTGCATTTCCATATCACTATTCATCAAAGAAGTCAAGACAGGAACTCAAACAGGAACCTGGAGACGAGCTGATGCAGAGACCATGGAGAAGTGCTTCTTACTGGCTTGCTCTCTATGGCTTGCTCTCTATGCCTTGCTCAGCCTGCCTTCCTATAGAACCCAGGACCAACTGCCGAGGGATGAGCTGAGCCTCCCCCATCAATCACTAATCAATGCCTTGCAGGCTTGCCTACAGCCCTTTTTTTTTGAAACAGGGTTTCTCTGTGTAATAGCCCAGGCTGATCTAGAACTCTGTAGACCAGGTTAGCCTTGAACTCACAGAGACCCACTTGCCTCTGCCTCCCCCCCCAAGTGCTAGGATTAAAGGCGTGCACCACCACCTACTGGTCCTACAGCCCAATCTTAAGGAAACATTTTCTCAACTAAGGTTCCCTCCTATCAGATGACTTTAGTCTGTGTCAAGTTAACACAAAACTATGCTGCACACATATATAATGAAATATCTAAAAATACGCACATACATACATGCTTAAAAACAGACTGAGTGATAGCTCATTGCTGCATAACTCTGAGAACTTGAGTTTTGGATATGCAACATCCACATAAAAGCCAGCTATGGTAGCAGGTATCTGTAACCCAGGGCTGGGAGTGTGGAATCTCTGAGGTTTACTGGCCAGTCTAGCTGAAACTCAATCTTCAGGTTCAGTGACAGATCCTGTCTCAAAAAATAAGGTTGAGAGTGATTATATGAAGATTCCAGACCTCCACCACACATAACCAAGAAAAGTAAGAAAGAAAGGAAGGAAGGATGGGAGGCAGGGAGGGACGGAGGGAAGGAGGAAGGGAGAGAGGGAGGGACGGAGGGAGGGACAGAGGGAGGGAGGGAGGTAGGGACAGAGGGAGGGAGGGAGGTAGGGACAGAGGGAGGGAGGGAGGGAGGGACAGAGGGAGGGAGGGAGGGAGGGAGGGAGGGAGGGAGGGAGGGAGGAAGGGTGGGAGGGAGGGAGAAAGAAAGGACTAACTGAACATCATTCCCTGTTAGTAAAAGTCTGTCTTAGGCACTCCTCTATTGCTGTGAGGAGACTCTGTAACGAAGGCAGCTCATAAAGGAAAGCATTTAATTGGGGCTCGTTTACAGTTTCTGAGGTCAAGTCCACGATCATCACGGTGGGGAGCGTGGTGGCACAAGCGTAGGCCTGGCACTGGAGCAGGAGCTAAGCTCTTACATCTTGATCTGCAGGTATGAGACAGAAAAGAGACACAGGGACACAGACAGACAGACAGACAGACAGCCTATTGTGGGCTTCTGAAACCTCAAAGTCCACCCTCAGTGACACACCTCCTCCCACAAGGCCACACGTGCTGATCCTAACCAGCTCCATGAGCTGGGAACCAAGCATTCAGACATAGGAGTCACTCACAGCTCCACAGTCCCAAATGACACTGGTGGAGGAGTGAGTTTCTAGCTGTTGAGTCTAACACCACAGCGCTGCAGTCCTACCTCCTGACATCGCTTATCATCTTCTAACCCAGCCAGTGTGCTCAGTGGTAAGCACTTGCCTGGCATCTGCAAAGCCCTGAGTTCAGTTCCAGTCCCAAAGAAGGAACATCCAGCCCCCACCCTACAGCGTCTTTGTGAACTGAAGTCTGTTTAGCTGAAAACTCGTCTGTACCAAGCACGTTGTCCTCCCCTGTTCTTGACATTGCTCCTTTCTATAAGACACTTCATCCTCTACCCAACTCTCCTGTCAGACCAATCTGTTGAAATCCTGCAAACCTGACAATCTCCACTCTGTCCCTGGAACCCACATGATGCAAGGCGAGGACTGACTCCCTCAAGTCGTCCTCTGATTTCTAGAAGCATGAAGTGGCATATGGGTCTACACACATACACAATAAGTAAATAAATATATAACCTGCTTTGTTCTGTTTTTTTGAGACAGGGTCTCATTATGTAGCTGTGGCTAACCTGAAACTGAACTATGTGGGCCAGGATGGCCTTGAACTCACGAAGATCCACTTGTCTCTGCCTCCCGAGTTCTGGATTAAAGGTGTGTATCACCATGCATGGACCCCTAATGTTGTAATTCTTTTAGAAATTCATTTATTTTTGTGTATTGGTGTTTGCCTGTGTGTCTGAACACCACATATATGCAGTGCCCACAGAGGCATGAAGAGGGCGTCAGATCCCCTGGAACTGGAATTACTGATGGTTGTGAGCTGCCATGTGGGTGCTGGGAACCAAACCCTGGTCCTCTTGGCGAGCAACAAGTGCTCTTAACTGGTGAGCTGTCCCACCGGCCCTGTTATTTAAATAGGACAAAAGTCCAGTCCATAAGCTGCCCTCTAGTTCCTCTTCCTTCCTTTATCACAACTTTTCTCATCCCTGGAGTAATTTGTAAATGTAGTCTCCTACCTCCTCAGAGGACAGGCACTATGTAGCTGTATTTGAATCCAGAATGCTGTCTCCCCGACTACACAGAATCTGCAGCTTGCTGGGGAGGGTCTGGGACACAGTCCAGTGATGAATGTGCACAAGGCCCTAGATTCAAAGCCAGGCCGAACACAAAATACAAATGTAGCCGTGTGTAATGTCTACTGTAAGAGGTAGACAGATTTTAATTAGTCAAGGAAATGTTTACCAATTCTCAGTACCCTGTTACCACCTGCATCTGGGCTCCATAAGGGGAGCTGTGCTGTGTTTCCTGGGGCATTGGAATATATCAGAAGTACCCTAAAAAGGAGGGGCTGTTTCCTGGGGCGTTGAAATATATCAGAGGGCTAACTTTTCTCCTGGGTTCTGATGTTAATAGCCCTTGCCTGTGGTGTTTAACCTTAGTGTGGTTTAAGTTTTTATGGGTTAAGAGCTTGTGCATGTTTTACCTGCGCTTAAGTCTGTGCACCACCTGCATACCCAATGCTTGTGAAGACCTGACGAGGGCGTCAGATCCCCCAGAACTGGAGTTACAGACAATTGTGGGTACTGGGACTCCAACATGGGTCTTCTAGAAGAGCAGTCAATGATCTGAACCACTGAGCCATTGCTTCAGGCCCTAATTCTTGACTAACAACCCAGTCACTTCTGTTCTGGGTTCCTGAGTAAAATCCCTACCTCCACCATGACTTCTTGTAGGACTCCATGGGTCTTAGCCTCTTGGAATCTACAAGGACTTTACAAAGTGTAAAGAATTAAATATGAGGCAGATAAAGATGTTAGAACAATTCCCAGTAAGCCAGAGAGTTCTGAAAACTCTTAGGAAGGGCATTAGTAAATGGGAGTGGGTGGGTTTTATTTACTTCCCCTCGGTCCCGCTGTCTGCCCCTCTGTCTGCCCCGCTGTCTGCCCCTCTGGAAGCCCATGCTGGTGCAATTCAGGGGACTGCTTCCCAGTCTCTGCCTCCTCAGGCTCACACACTCCCTTACCAGAGGACAGCAGTCCTGGCCACCAGGAGGAGTGTTTGTGCCACAGAAGGCAATAAACTGTCCACAATAAAAAGCCAGGCTCAGTTTTCTGGCCACCTCTTGTCCCTCTGGAGAGAACAACTTGTGATGTTGTTTAGATGACACCATTGGCATCTTTCTATCTATCCTCCACCTTCCTGCCTCTGCCACAACGGCCCCACCAGTGTTTAGCCCACTGAGCCAGGAATGGTGACTCCCCTGTTTTTCCTTCCACATGAGGCTCACTTAGACACTAGAAAATGAAATGCCTGACATAGCCTGGTGCTCTGGTGCACACCCCAATGCAGCACTTAGGAAGCTGAGACAAGATTGCCAAGAGCTTAAGGCCAGCCTGGGCTACAACATCACTGCCAGGTCATTAGGGGTTCTGGCATGAGACCCTGTCTCAAACAGGCAAACAAACAAGCAACAGTAAAAAATGGATAGATATAGACACCAAATCTAGCAAAAACCACTGTGTGAGCCATGAACACCAATAGGTTAAATTATGTGGTCTCACCCTGTGTGGCCCCTACTCACCTGCTGTTATCTCAGTGGACACTCATGCCCAGAAGCCTGTGCCCGGGCTGGCAGGCATCTCAGGTCACCTTGTCTCCAATTCTGAAAACAGGAGGGGATGAGCACGGACCATAGCACGAGAGGTCAGAACATTCCGAGGACGGAGACTGGGACCCAATTTACACAGAGCTACCAAGAACAGCTGGACAGCAGGCATTTACAGAAACATCTGGAGCCATGAAGTGCCCCACCTGACCAGAGGGAAAGTTTAGTATTTTATTTTGTTTTAGTTTTTGCTGAAAGGTTGAATGATTTGGTAAATAAAATAGTAAATGAAGTTGAGCGTAAGTCTTTAATCCCAGTCCTTAGCAGATGGAGGGCCAAGTGTTCACGGTCATCATTAACTGCAAAGTAAGCTCTAGGACAGCCCAAGCTGTACGAGGTCCCTCTCAAAAGATCAATAAGTGTGTGAATGAGCAAGTGAAGGAATGCAGGCATTGGAATGTGGGTCCTCTCTGGGAATTATTCCAGTCTTGAGACACTAGGTGGCAGCATATAGCAGCAGAAGGAGACACCAGGCTGGTCCAGGGCGGCCCCAAGGAGTGGTTTTTGTGTCCCCCTGACTTTGAGCCCTGCTTCTTTTCCCACAAAGGGTCCTTCACTCCATTCCAGTGCTAAGACACCACAACCAACAGGGAGGAGAAAAGCCTGGCGGAGTCAAACACCTAGGGTTCTTCTCAGAACCCCTGAAATTAAAGTTCTCCAACTCTCAAAAGGGCCTGGCTGTAAGTGGGAATGAGAAAGCATTTAGACAGAACCCCTGATCCAGACTGATAGGGCAGAATTAGCAATGGGACTTTTTAAAATCAAACAGTGGCTCCCTGGGGAAGGGTAGCCTTGCTAAGCCTGCCTCAGGGCAAGCCCCTTGGAACCTCTCTAATTTCCTCATATAGCCAGACCAGAGGTCGCTTCTCTAGCTGTGCTCTTCAGGGAACATGTATTTGCTATAGGACAGAAGCCAGGGACACTGAGTGAATCTATCATTGTCGGGGAACTCTGAAAAGTTCCTCTTGACTACAAACATCTACAGGAAGTTGATCCAGCCACCTTTGCCTGCAGTCGTAACACAGCACCACCCACCCCAGCCCCCACACAGACTTTTACAAACACCCACTCTGCACTCAGCCTGCATCAGCTACTTGATAGATGAATGAACCAAAGGAGCATGACACCTGCCCACACTCCACATCTAAAGAATCGTGTTTTTAATCATTCATCCCAAAGAGAAACTCCTTCATACCTTAGTTGACTATTTATGGTCTTTCCTGGTGGTTTCCATGAGGTTTTTGCTTGTTTGTTTTTTGTTTTTGTCTTTTCGAGACAGGGTTTCTCTGTATTGTTTTGGAGGCTATGCTGGAACTTGCTCTTGTAGACCAGGCTGGCCTCGAACTCACAGAGATCCGCCTGCCTCTGCCTCCCGAGTGCTGGGATTAAAGGCATGGGCCACCACCGCCCGGCTCCAAGGTGATTCTTATAGAAGAAAGCATTTATTTGGGAGCTTGCTTACAGCTTTGAGGGTTAGTCCGTTATCGTCATGGAAGAGAGCGTGGCAGCAGACAGGTGTGTTATTGACGCAGCTGAGAGCTACATCCTAATTCACAAGCAGAGAGAGATTAAGACTGGGCCTGGGCCGGTGACACACATCCTCCAACAAGGCCACACCTATAGGAACCTAGGGGACCCATTCTTATCAAGCCACCACAGTATAAATATCCTACTTTGCTTTCTATTGCTTTGTTAAACACCATGGCCAAAAGCAGCTTGGACAGGAAGGAGTTTATTGACTTACACATTCCCATCACAGTGCAACAGTGAGAGAAGTCCGGACAGGAACTCAAGGCAGGAACTGGAGCAGAGACCATTGTAGTGGCTTCTTGCCTTACCGGTCAATTTACAGTAGTGGCCATACCCTTTGGGCGTGGTTTCAGGTGTGGATGAGACCCCTTTAAGGTAGAAGAGCTGTGAACTCTCTTGGGTGATGAAGAGCATCGGAAGAGCAGAGACTGCATTTTCTGGAGCAGGAAGGCCACGGTGGTTATTTACTCTTATCTGTGTAAGTTCTTCCCCTATAGAACACCTATGTATCATTTATCTTGGGTTTGGTGAACTAATTTAAAGCCCACCTTCAAGCCGGGTGGTGGTGGCGCTCGCCTTTAATCCCAGCACTCAGGAGGCAGAGGCAGGCGGATCTCTGTGAGTTCGAGACCAGCCTGGTCTACAGAGTGAGTGCCAGGACATGGTCCAAAAAACAATACAGAGAAGCCCTGTCTCGAAAAACCAAAATAATAATAATAATAATAATAATAATAATAATAATAATAATAATAATAAAGCCCACCTTCAGACCATGGAGAAATCTTGTTTACTGACTTGCTTTCCAAGGCTTACTCAGTTTGCCTTCTTATACAACCCAGAACCACATGCCGGGATGGCACAGCCCACAGTGGAAGGGACCTCCAACATCAATCATTAACTAAGATGACCTCCACACTTACCTGTAGCCCAATCTGATGGGGGCATTTTCCAAATTGAAGTTCCCTCTTCCCAGGTGACTTGATCTGTGTCAAGCTGACAAAAAACTAACCAGCACAGAGGATGACTTTGAACTTACGTCCTTCTTGCCTCCACTCTCCAGGGCTGAGAACCCTGATGTGCACCGCTACAATGTCTGCTCACCCTTCCCTGACCTACCTCTTTTCCATTCCTAGTCACAGAGTTTCCTGTGCTGCTAGATAAGTCTGACCCTCTTCTGCCTGGGCAGCCTTCTAACAACTAAAGACTAACACTGGGCCTCTGTGACTCATTTCTTCCTCACAAATCTTCACCTCGGGAGACACTCCCTTTTCCGAGAGTCGTTTGACGTGTTCCTCCCGTACACCAGACACTTAGCAAGCTCGTGTCCTCACCTCTAATGTTCACCATAAACCCTGTTCTAAGATGCAGACAATGGGATGGGTGAGGAAAGCGGCCAGCTTGCCCACTGCCCCACACCTCTGAGAGGCAGCAAGTGTCCTGACTGTCATAGTCCTCTTCCTGGCGCTTGTCTCCTCAGTCGGGCTTCGGTTCAGACTAGTCTCAGCAGTACTGTCACCTCCGCTGGTCTGGATAATGAGCTAATGGGCACCTAGATATCTGAAATCTGAGGGCCTGCAGCATTAAACATGGTCGTTCACACTGTCTGCTTTCTCCTGCGTCCTGTGTGTCCTGTGCTACACTTGTCCTTCAGAGACAACCCAGTTCATACACCTTGCAAGACAAAGCCATTCTGACTCTACTTCTCTCTCTCTCCTCCATACATCAATCATCCTCTATCTCATCTATCATAATATACTACATATCTATATATATCTATCTATGTTTTATATCATACTCTCTTATAACATATATCATACATATCATATCTTCATCTATATATCATATATATATATATATATATATAATATATATCATATATTATATAAATAAATATATATATATATATAAAATATATATATTATATATATATATATATATATATATATATATGCATATATATATATATAATATAATAATATAATATATATATATATAAATATATATTTATGTATATATAATATATATATATATATATATATATATATATATAAATATATATATCACTATTATATATATATATGTTTACTATAATAATATAACATATATCATAATATACTAAATATATATATATATATATAATAACATATATATATTAATACCTATATATATAAATATATATCATACATCATATATATATATATTATATATACAATATATATATATATATATAATAATAATATACATATAATATACTTTATTGAAACTTATATATATAAACTAGAATATATCACTATATATATATATATATTTATATATATATACTATATATATATATATATACTATACTATATCATCATATAATATCTGTGTCCACTCTCTCATCCATCCCATACTTAGTAGGCTAGAGCCCTAAAGCTTTTATCTTCTTGTCATATTTGCATGTGCTGGAATTGCAGACAAGTGCCACAATTTCTTTCTTTCTTTCTTTTTTTTTTTTGTTTTTCGAGACAGGATTTCTCTGTATTGTTTTGGAGGCTGTCCTGGAACTCACTCTGTAGACCAGGCTGGCCTCGAACTCCCAGAGATCCGCCTGCCTCTGCCTCCCGAGTGCTGGGATTAAAGGCGTGCACCAGCAACGCCCGGCAAGTGCCACAATTTCCCCACAGAATTTCTACCTATATTTTCTGAGCAGTAATTAATGTCCCTGATTTCACTCCAGTTATGACACATCCCCACACCATTTCTTTTTTTTTTGTCCCTTAGTGCCTTACACATGGAGGTACCCAGCAAACATTTGTCAAGTGAATCAACTTAGGAACCAGGAGTTCATCTTTTGTCTCAAAGCCCTCATCAAGTCCACTCAGTGGATGGATGCCTCCTAACTTCTGACGGGGGGATCCTGGTGCACTTTTGTCTCAAAGCCCCCATCAAGTCCGCTCAGTGGATGGATGCCTCCTAACATCTGACTGGGGCGAATCCTGGTGTACTTTGCAGCACATCTCTGTGTCAAAAGGAGAAATGTCCCCCGCCTCGGCTGTTTTTCTAAATGAAGCTTAGCCTCCTCCTGGGGGGTCAGTCATTTGTGTCAGAGCTGGGAAGACTGTCTTCTTCAGATGTCACCCTCCAGGTCCTTGAATAGGGTGGGAAGCAGCTAGCAATTGCTGGCTGAGAAAATGAGGTAGAAACAGCCTCAACTGTGGAGAGACGGGCTATCCTGGGATGTGGCGCTCCACTGGCTGGATCCAGAGCTCCCTGCCCTCTGCCACACCTGAGCAAGGCCCACCTCCATTATCTTGAGCTGTTCTATATTCCTCTCCATGACAGTCGCTGTCTTTTTAGCTTTATTATTTCTTTCAGTTTTTCTGTCAGTGCGGGAGTGATGCATGTGATGGGTGCCAGTGTGTATGCGCGCTTGTGGAGGCCAGGGGTGGATGGAGATGTCTTCCTCTTCTGCCTTTCTCCTTTTGGTTTGGAAATAAGGTCCTCCTCTTAACCTAGAGCCCACTTTCCCACAGGTTTGAGCTCAGCTGGCTGGTCACAACCCCCCAGGATCCTGTCTCAGCCTCTCTGGAGGGGATTAGCTTTTACATACTGCTGAGGATCCAAGCTCCATTCCTTGGGCTCCTTAGCAAGCACTTAATAGGTTTGCTGTGAGGAAACACCATGAGGAAAGCAAGTTAGGGAGGGAAGGGTTGATTTGGT